AAGAAAGAAAGAAAGAAAGAAAGAAAGAAAGAAAGAAAGAAAGAAAGAAAGAAAGAAAGAAGAAAGAAAGAAAGAAAGAAAGAAAGAAATTGAGACTTTGGAAAAAGTGCAAAGAGCAACTAAGACGATTAAAGGCCCGGAGACAAAAACATATGAAGAACGGTTGCAGGATTTGGGTTTGGCCAGTCTAGAGAAAACCAGGGGGGACATGATAGCAGCATCCGAGGATTTGAGAGAGTGCCACAGAGAAGAGGAGGTCAACTTATTTTTCAAAGCACCAGAGAAACGATGGAAATTAATCAAGGAGATTTGGAATTAAGGAGAAACATCCCAACTGTGAGGACAATTAACTAGTGGAAAAGCCTTTAGAAATTGTGGATGCTTCATCACTGGGGTTTTTAAAGAATAGACTGGACAGTCACTTGTCTGAAATATGGTATAAGATCTCCTGCTTGAACAAGGGGTTGGACTAGTCCAGGGGTTGCCAAACTTTTGGACCTCAGGGACTACCAAACTCATAATTTTAAATCCCAGGGACCACTAACCGGTTCTGTGGGTGTGGCCAAATTTGTGGGTGTAGCTTGGTGGTCATGTGACTGGCTGGGCATGGCTTGTATGGAAATATTATAAATATTTATATAAATATTGAATTTATTAAAAAAGGAGCAACTTTTACTCAAAATCAGGCAAAGCAGGCAGGCAGATTGAGTTGCTCACAGAATCATTCAGTGATCTATCTATCTGCCATCGGCTAGCTCAATCTCTCAAATTTGCTTGCCGTGAGTCTGCACTGAATTTGCTTGCAAGTAAACCTTCAGTCCTAAGGGAGGTTCGGCTGTACTTAAAAGCAGAGCCGAAGATCTAAAGACTAGCTAGAAAGTAAGAAATCCAACCATTTCCTGCTTCCTAGCTAATCTAAATCTCCCAGCACAGCAGAACAGATGATGGTTGGGGGGGGGGGAAGGAAAAATAGCAACTTAGCAGGCAAGTTTGCCAGTTAAGGAGTGAGTGGGCGGGGAGGGTTCCCACGGGCCATGTGGGTGGTGCAGCCTTGTGTTTCTGCGCATTAATAGCTTTGGGGGTGGCTGTGGGGGTGAGAATTCTCTGCGGCCCACCAAAATTTTCTCACGGCCCACTAGTTGGCGACCGCTGGACTAGATGACCTCGAAGGTCCCTTCCAGCTCTATTCTGCTTAACTGATGCTTCCAATCCAAGAGTTGTATGACGGATGGATGGAGGCAGAGTCATTAAACCTTGTTAGAAAAGCACTATGCTAGAGTCACTGTCAGGTCAAGAATTTTTTCTTGAATTCCCACCAGCCTTAGATCTACATGTGTCTAAATAATGCTTGGAGAAAAATACGATATATTTTTTTTTAACAAGCCTACCTGCCACTGTGATGGACAGAGGTTGCAGGCTGGGCAGCACAGAAGCCACCACGAACCACGAGTGGCAACATATGCCTTTGAATAAAATTTGTTGGCCAGAAAAGATGCTATTAGGCTTTTCCAGATTCGGGGAAGGAGGAAATTAATACAGCAATTTTAATGATTTGCCAGCAGATGGTGTTCTTACCATACATTTTAAAAGCAGTTTAATTACACACAGATATTTGCTTATTGACAAATGGTATGGAGGGGGCAATTGGAACTGAGGAGAAATAAATCACTTAGTCTGCTAAAATAACCACTTTCCTTATTATTTTGGCATCCACCCTCCAAGCACGTTGGCCTGTTACTTAGTCATACAGTCATGTTTGTAAAGCTGCTAGTCTGGGCAACAAACATTTCAATAATCTTTTTCACATGACTGTAGATCCAACCAGGGGACATTGGTCCAAGACTAGACAGCCACCTATCTGGAGTGGTATAGGGTCTCCTGCTTGAGCAGGGGGTTGGACTAGATGACCTATAAGGTCCCTTCCCACTCTGTTAATCTGTTAATTTTCTGACAGTGAGAACAATTAACCCATGGAACAGAAGTTGCTTTCGGAAGTTGTGGGAGCTTCATTCCTGGAAGCTTTCAAGAAGAGACTGGACTGCCATCTGTCAGAAACAGTGGATGGTCTCCTGCTTGGGTGGAGGGTTGGACTAGATGCCCTACAAGGTCCCTTCCAGCTCTATACTAATTGATTGATTGATTAAAGTAAATTAATGTTGAAGATTGGCTTTTTGTCTTCTGGTTGTGTTTCTTATCAGCCTCTGTGAAAAAAGGCTTAAGGACAATGAAAGATAAAATTGTGACTCTTCCTGAGTAGGGCAGAACCAATAATTTACTTTGAATCAACTCCACATATTGCAAATAAAGGCACGGCTTGTTGAAATTTTGGAAAAAATACATTTATTATTTTTTTAATATTAATATTTATTTTAAACACAATGAAGCTTTAATTTCCAGAGTGGAATTACATTTTTTTTTTAAAAAAAATTACAATTGGTTTTATTCAGCTTGATTGTATTTCCGTGACCAATTTTAACCAGCACCAGGAAAAAGGATTAGAAATATTATCTTGACTATAGTTCATATCTAACCATTTTTGAAAATATATATACATTTTTGCTCTGTACTGAACAACGTAACATTACATTATTGCCTTGTATTAGAATAAAATATCAATACTCAGCTGCAAACGATTTCTTTAAATCACCAAGGGAGAAAAGGTTAGCACCAAATGATAGTGAAATTCCTACACTCGTTAAGTGAAAATTGTGCAACTATAAATGTACAGTACTTCATGGAACAGTACATAGAATAAGGCTTTGTCACAGTGGACATATGACAATGCAGGAGGGTTGAGCTGAAAAATGAACAAATAAAAATATTGCTTTAAGTAGAATACTAGAATACACACACGTGTATATGCTCTGCCAACCAACTCTAGACCTATTTAGCTGTTCCACCATGAAACTACAGGTCATTCTTGAATTACAACCATTTCTTTAGTGACTATTCGAAGTTACAGTGGTAATGAAAAAAGGAACCCATGATCGTTTTTCACACTTACAACCCTTCGCAGCATCCACCTAGTCAAAATTTGGATGCTTGGAAAAACTGACATGTACTTGCGATGGTTGGAGTCTCCCAGACCAGGATCATGCTATCACCTTTTGTGACTTTCTGATAAGCGAAGTTAATGGAAAAGCCAGATTCACTTAACAATCGTGTTACTTACTTAACACCTGCAGTGATTCACTTAACAACTGTGGCAAGAAAGGTCATAAAATGGGGCAAAACTCAACCATTGTCTATGTCAGTGTTCCAGCAATCGCTCTAATTAAATCATGATTCTGGAGCCAAACTTCAAAAAACTTCAAAGGATTCATTAGAGGCGACATACTGGCACTGGCCTGTATGAAGCCAACTCTGGCATACGTAATTTACAGTCCCCTGTGACCCTGTTTCTCCCCTCCTCTCTGGTTGTCTCATAAACCAGGTTCTCCAATTGAGCATGTTCACAGGCTGGGTGTCATCATTCATGTTCTCCAATTCAATATATTCACGGGCAAAAGCCCTGGGAGTTTAGTTACAATCTTTTAAAGATAAGAGTTGGAATGTACTTTGACTTTCAAACTGCTGCACTGCTCTTCCAGATTTTCTTCCTCTTCCCCGCCTTTTTTTATGGCAACTATTAAAACAGGCCTAGGAATGTTTTATGAGTTGACAGTCTAGGTGAACCACAGAAATGTTGGACTCCATTGTGGTTGTAAATCAAGGACTACCTGTATGGAGAATGGCGAACAAATGCTCTCGGAAGGCAGATTGCTCACCAATAATGCCAAAACAGAATTACAGAAACTATCTGGATTGTAGGAAATGATACAAAGATGTTAGCTAACCCTGCCTGATGACCCACAAGGTTGTAAAATGCACCTTGAAGCTTACGCCTCCGATACAACGTAGTGAGATTTCTTTACAGTTTACATTCATCAATATGGCTTCGCAACAGAAGAAGTGAAGTAAAAAAAATCTTGGCCAAAATTGGAAGGGCTGAAAGCATCGCATCCCAGGGAAAGTTGGCAAGCCTGGTTTGCATCTTATTTCAAAGAACTATCCCCCAATGGTGAAGTATATGGTGTACATATAGATTGAATAATCAAGAGGGTAAGTTTGAATTGTCTTGAGAGTAAGTTTGTTTATTGATCGATTGGCTGCCCAACCCCAGTTTGGGAAGAACTGTATTAAACAGACCTGATCTGGGACCTAAATAATGGAAAAATGTGTTATTCAAGCTAGCCATCTTGAGATTCTTTTGATGTGCAGAAATCCAGTAGAGCAGAGCAGTGAATCTTGAATAGAAATTTTGCTCTTTTTCTTTATGTGAAACTGTGGGTTGTTCACCACTGATTGTCCCAAAGGAGCTTTTTTCAAGAGGCAGCTGGAGTTTCTGGTTCAGTGGCCTCTTGAAAAAGCACTTTTGGGACAACCATGACCTGGAGGACTGAGAATCTCCACAGAC